TCACTGGACGAGCAGAGCAGAAGCTCATCCTACACCCTTGATCCTCACCCCCTCCAACCCACCTTTCCTTCCCAAGTTCTGAGGTTGTAGGCCTGTACCACCATGCGCAGACTGACTGTCAAGATTTCTGCATGTTAGTTCAAGGATGGCTGCACTCTGTCACAAGCCCCAATCTGCAGGTGAGGAAACAGAAGCTGACAACATCAGGGCGCTAGTCTGAAATATCCTGGCAAAAGGCTGGGTGGCCCCAGTGTCTACCAGGATCAAATTCTTCCATCTGTACATGCTCATTTGACCACCAGGGGGAGCCAGATGCCCGTTCGTAGGGAGGCCGGGGTACCCCGCCAAGGGGTTACAGTGAATGAATGTTCTTTTGAGAATGGCTCAGGGGACTGGGTGGGAGGGCACATCTAGCGAGCCCGGGGAGCCTTGGTACAGAGTGTGCAGGGGCTGGGGGAGGTGTTGTAAGAGAGCCAGGGTTCAGAACGCTGGCGGCTGGAGGAGGAGCCGAGAGCGTTTTGTGGCCTCCCTGTTCTGCCTTGCCCGTCCCTTCTGGGGGAAAAGTGCGGCGCTAGGGAAAAGCAGGGTTCTCTGAAGGAGGCCCCTGCCTGCACCATCTATCTCCCGGGAGAAGCTCAGAGCCTGGAATTGACCGGACGTTCCTAAGTTTTCTGGCAAGGAAACCAGGAAATCAGACCGCGAGTTAGCCTCCTTTCAGGCCCAGCTAGTTCATTCCAAGCAGCTCTTGCCCCAGGACTTCCCGGAAAAGGCCCGCTGTGCCAGGGGAGCCACCCTCAGGCTCCTGAGGCTGCTGCCTCCAAGATGTACCGCAGCGCTCTTCCCTCTCCCTGGCTGTGGGTCAGACCCATCTCCCGAGCACAGACGTTGTACCATGAGTGGTTTTCTATTCACTGTGTATTGTCCCTGAACCTTCTTCCACAGTTCCTTCTTCGTGAATGCCAGTGTCTGTGGGGTTGGACCTGGAAAGTTTGGAATCGCCATTGATCACCCTGTTTCTTTTTCATTTCCCTCTGTTTCCTTTTCGAGTCCAATGGTCCACTGAGCCTTTCCACCTCCGCTGTCCATTTCTTGGTTTCCATCAACAACGGGCCAAGCGCCCAGCATCTCTTCTTTAGGATGCCTGTTACTGCCGGAAGCTCCACCTTCACTCTTTCTCCAGCACCTTTTCCAGGTGACAGTCTTGATAACCTGGTTTTTGCCCCTACCGGCTGAGCCTGTCCGGCAGCTTCCCGGTGTTTCCTTTTATTAAAATATAAGTTATTGTTATTTGTTTGTGTTGCAGGCACACACAGGAGGAGGTCAGGCTCTGTGGAGTCTGTTCTTTCCTTTAGGTGGGTTCCGGGGATCCAACTCATCAAACTTACATAGAAAGTGCCTCACCAATGAGCCACCATGCCTTGCCTAACCCCCAGGGGTTTTGTTTATTACTTTTTTTGGTTCTTTGAGGCCCTGTCCAAGTAGCCAAGGCTGGCCTCAAGTTCGTGATTCTTCTGCCTGCCTCCCCAGGGCTGGGATTGTGGGATTGTGGGTAGGAAACACCACACAGAGCTTCCACTGTGCTTGCAATAATCGGACTCCTCCTGCGTGGCAGGCTTCTGAATGGGCTGGCCCTTCCTATGTCTGTGAGACCTTATTCCCTTCACAGTTCATCTACACTGGCCAAGCTCACCACAGGGCCTTTGCATGGTTTTCTCTACCTGGAACCCCACACTTTGCCCTAGGAACTCTTCCGGATCCCGGCTCCAGCACTCCTTTCTCAGGGACGCCCTGATTCATCTCCACGACTAGGTCAGATCCCTCACTCATTTTCCTAATGCTACTACACACTTAGCTGCTCACAGAGTGTCGGGGCTGTAATGACCTATTTGTTCAGAACATGGTTTAGTTATTAATAGACCTCTATTAAGGTAAGGGCTACATCAAGTTTTGCCCACTTAAGAATGATCTCCAGGTCAGATGCGGTGACCGGTCGGTAAAGTGCGGGGGGTCCAAACTTGGCGTCTCATGTTTGCAAGGCTTTACCACCTGCGCCACAACACTCAGTGTAACTTTTGTTGTTTTTCAAGACAGTTTCTCTGTGCCTTGGCTGTCCTGGAACTCACTCTGTAGCCCAGGCTGGCCTTGAACTCACAGAGATCCACCTGTCTCTGCCTCCCGAGTGCTGGGATTAACGGCATGCAGCACCACTGCCCAGCTGTTTTTATTTTTTTGAGACAAGGTCTTCCTGGGTAACAGCAGTTGGCTTGAACTTCTGATGCTGAACTCATAGAGGTCCACTTGCCTCTGCCTGGGACTAAAGCCGTATGGGCCACTTAGTCCAGTAGCATGTTCCTTCAACCACCGACTGCACTGATTACCCGCTTTCTCTTCATCTCCTGGCTAGGCCTGTGCCATTTTTTGTCTGAACCTTGACAACCCCTTCTTGCCTCTTGGTTGGTCCCTATTGATTGATGAGTTTCTGCCTCAGAAGTCAAGAGTGTTCTAACGATCTCCAGTGTCTGTCACTATCCCTACTTAATAGCCTTCAGTGGGTCCTCAGGGTCCTGGGAATAAACCCCGAGCTCCTAAGCATGGTCTTCCAAGACCTTGCCTGTGTGGCTCCCCTCATGGCAAGCCTCATCTTACGGCTCTTGTCTAACTCAGCAAATAGTGAGTGCCTGTTCTGCTGGGCAGTGGGCACTGCTTTCATGAGAAAACCCGAGTCAAATTTATCCTGTCTTATGATAGATACAGGCACACAGCGGTTTCCCACACAGCCCTTCTCCTTGCCTTGCCTAGAAAGTGCATTTTTCTCCTTTCCACCTCCCTGACCTTGCCCAGACGACACTCAGCAGGCCCCCAGCCTGGCCCACTCCCCTGCTCACACTCCTGGGACCTGCCTTGCTGCTCAGCTCTTTCACATCACTGACCACATGCTTTGCTTTCACATTTGTTTGTGTGGTTGTGTGATTACTGTCCACCTTCCCTTTCAGGAAGCTCAGGAGCTTTCTGGGCCTGGCTTCTGCTTACCACTGTATCCCTCTGGCACTTAGCAGGTGCTCCACAGACAATTAATTGACCGAACAAAATGAGTAAACTGTCAAGAGTCCTCAGGGGACACTGCCTTTCAGGGAGATGTTGATGCCTCTGCCTCAGCTCGGTGGCTGGGAAGGGTATGCAAAGGAACTTCCATCGTGGCCCGGAACGGCTCACCCCCCTTCTTGGCCTCCCCAGCCATGCCATGACTGTGACTTGCACCTAGCATCCTGTCTGCCTCCCCAGTGCCTTGTAGTCATCCTCTGGAATACTGTTGTCAAGATCCACCAAGGCAGCCCCTACAGGCTCCCATGGAGCATCCCACACGCTTGCTTGTACTTGAAACTGTCCCTAGGCAGGCCACGCCAGCTTTGAGCTTTTAAGGCTCCTTTCCCAGCTTCCTAAGTGCCAACATGCTCAGAACTCATTTCCTTTTTTGTTTCTCAAAAGGGAAACGAATTCATGTATTTGTTTATTTTACGTGTCCCCAGACGAGTTAGAAGCTTTGAATCACAGAGAAAATTCAGTTTGCTTGGCTTAAACAATAAGGGAAGTAGTTTGGAGATAAGATGGCTTAAAAATGTGTTTTGGCTTTGAACTTATTATTGTGTGCGAGTGTGCATGATGTATGTGTGGGCCATGTGGGGGTCAGAGGACAACTTTGTAGAGCCAGTTTGCATGGCAAGTACCTTTACCCACTGAGGCACTTCAGCAGCCTGAGATAGGCCGGTTAATTTATGGTTTAGTTTATGGTCGGTTAATTCACTAGTGTCCCCAAGGGCTTAGGTTTCTGGGGCTGTAGCTCAGCGGTAATATGCATCCATGAGGCCCCAGACCCAATCTCAAATACTGAAAAAAACAACTCTAGTACTCAAGGACTTAGCTTCTCAACCCTGTCACCCCAGATGTGGGCTGTTTTTAGGCTGGTTCCTGAGCATGCACTAATTCCCAGCACCACAGCGAGACGTCACATCATATAAGCGGAGCTTCTCCTCTCATGTTGCTACTGGCAGCATGGCAAATAATCACAGAACTTAGCCCTTCAAACCACTGGCTCACTGATGAAGGCGAGTGGTAGAAACCTGGCTGTTTCTAGCTCTAGGAGTCCCAGAAGGTGATGGCCATGTTGTTGGCTAGGCCTAAAGTCATCTGAAAACTGGGCTGGAGCTGAAGCATCCCTTTCCAAGTTCATGCTCACAACTGACATGAACTGACAGGGGCTTCCGTTTCTGGCTACACAGGTCTCTTATAAAGAGCCTTCCTCTAGCCTGAGTGACGGAGAGCAACTATTCTCTCTGCTCTATTCTATTGGCTACTCAGCCCAACCCAGTTACAACACGGGAAGAGGCTGTACAAGAAACAGTGTGAATCCTAGGGGATGCTGGAAGGTCATGTCAAAAAGTATCTATGTAGCTGCCACACAGGGTTTCTTTATAGAAGTGAGGCAGCCTTTCCCAGAAGTCCCCAGGAGGCTTTTCTTCACACCTGCTGGCTAGACCTGTGTCACATGCATACATTGTAAGTCAATCACTCACTCACAGGGAATTCAGGACCATTATTTTTGGCCCTGGAAATCACGATTCACTGCCCAGAGATGGGCTAGGAGCCTCCTCTGCTCAAGCGGTGGGAAGGGCCTGGCGGCCTGGAGGTATCTCGGCGGTTCTGTTGGGAATGAAGGGGTCAGGGAGGGATGTTGAGCACACAGCCCAGTGGCCATGGTGCTCACTGTTTGAGTAGCAGCTCCGCAAACTCACGAGCTCAGCCAATACCTGTGCAGGTCACGTACGGCAGTCAATGTCTGCTGAAGAAAGAAGTGAACAAATTCCTAACTAAAAGACGACAGGGCAGGGAGCCGAGGGCTGCTACCACCTGTTAGGGGTAGATAGCCCCAAGCCCTAGGCTCCTTATGTTCTCAGAACTCAGGTCTGTTCCCACCCTTGCCCCCAGGTCCAAGGACACACAAGTTTGGCAGAATTATTCTCACTTTATTTCTGGAGAAGTTTGATCAGATGTAATAACACTGATTCCAGGCGAGGACAGGGGGCATTACCCCTGAAGCAACCAGTATTCTGTGGCCCAAGGTGCCCCTCCATTCCCAGACCCGGGTTCTCCCTCGGTTACAGTTAAATAGAGGAAGGTCTTCCCAGGGAGCCCTGGGACGAGGGCCTGCCTCCCGTGCCCGCCTCCTCCGCGTAGAGGTGTCTGCTATTTACAGTATTCACATCCACTGCACCCCACCAAACCAAGGCAAATACTACAAGTGGTCCTTCCCCGGGGGAGGGGAGGCCAGAGAGGCTCTGAGTGTATGTGTGTATTGGGAAGATGGGTGTTTGAGCATGTGAGCACACGAATGCACTGAGGGGCAGGATCTGCTTTCAGCCAAAGGCATATCAGTCTGTAAGGTGCAGATTAAAAACAAAGAGGACCCATCCCCAGGGGTCCTAGGCCACTTCCATTCTTTGTTCTGTCTCTTTCTCTTCCAGACACCCACGAGCTGATACGGAGGAACCTTCACAGATGCGCCTGGGTCCAAGGCAATTGCTTAAAGGACTTCTGAGGGAAAGGAGAGGGGGAAAGTCAGGGCTGGGAGCCCCAGGTAGGGATGGGTGGGGTGCAGCTAGGTCCAAGAACCGGGGTCCCTACAGTCCCTACCTGTGACCTGTGGGGGCTGCACCACTGCTTTCTTGAGGAAGGCTTCAGCCTCTGCAAATGGGAGGAGCCCTTCTGGCGCTCGACCCAGGCTCTTGTCCCCAGCGCTTCCCTTTGGGGAGAAGCCGTTCTCCTGGTGCGCTGGGAGAGGCTGCAGGCCATTTACCAGGGACCCTGGCATCTCCTTGCTTGGCAGGCTGTGGATGTAGGGTTCAGGGTTAGCACCTCGCCTCCCTGGGAAGCCCAGAGCAGCCCAGAGCTGCAGCCTACAGCTGCCTGGCTGGCTCAGAGCCCCTTGGGTTGGGAGCTGGTACCTCCACTGTGGCTCCTGGGGGCCCAGCTCCTCTTTCTGCACAGAATCTTTCTCAAGACCAGAGGGCCGAGTCTCTACCGCTTTCACAGAATCTACTGAAGTAAAGAAATGGCTGTCAGTTAGGGGCCATTGAAGGGTGGGACTGGAGCTCAGGGGTGACCAGAGCCAAGGAAATGAGAGTGAGGGCTTTACCTGGGCTGGAATTGTTGGCTGTGGTCTCCTTTCCATTCTGCTTCTGTTTTGAAGAGGGAGAGGCATCAGGTGCCAGGGATCTGTGGACCCACTTACAGCTGTACTGAATTCCCTCTCCGCCCAGACACAGAAAAGCCTTCCCACTGCATTCTACCATGACTCTGGGGCTTTTCTGAAACCTCCTTCCTTCACCCCAACTCCCACTCCCCAACCTGAGAATCCTCACCTTGGTTTCAGTGGCTTCTGTCTTCCGAGTCCTCTTCATTATCTCCTCTAGTCGCTGTGTGAAGAAGGCCCAACATCAGTTAGGCCCAGACCCAGACCCACCCCTCAACTTCCTACCGGCTGGCCCTTTTCTAGAGCCCAGTCCCTCCCAACCCACACCAGTGCTCTCCTGCCCCATCTTCTACAAATCCAAGCCTGGCCCACCCCAGCACGGGCTCCGCCCCCAAGCCCCACCTGCCCCGCACACCTTTCTTCGCTCTTGTCTCTCCTGTTCCTCCCTCTGGAAGTGCTTTTCCCGCTCCAGGCGCTGGCGCTCAGCTTCTTCCCGGGACCGAGCCTCAGCTTCCTCTTTCTGCCAAAGACCTCTGTAAGCCTTGGGCTTCCTGCTTTAGCCTTCCCTCCCGGCCAGACGTACTTAGAGGCAGTCAGGATCTGCCCACCCGCCTGGACACCTGCTTCTGCAGCCGCTCCTGCTCCTCCTGCTCGGCCTGGGCCTTCTCTCGAGCTTCCTGCTCCTCCCGCCTCCGGGCTTCGGCCTCGCGTTCAGCCCGGGCCTCGGCCTCCCTGGCCAGCTGCTCCTCCCGCATTCGCCTGGAGGACCCAGGAAACTCAAGCTTGGTCTGCACCTCTTCTTCAGGCGCTCCAGGGCCCTCACAGTCCCTGAGGTCACACTTACTTGTCCCTTTCAGCCTGTAGCTTCCGCTCCTGTTCTTCGCGTTCCCTCTGTTCCCGAGCCTGGCGCCGCTTCTCAGCCAGGAGCCGAGTGGCTTCTTCTCGGTCGGTGGTGCCGGCCATGGGTTTGCTAGGGGTCACCGGGGGAGCAGCGGTGGGAGGGGCAGCCGGGACAGCGGTGTCTGGAAGAAGATCCAAAACAAGAGTCAGTACACAACGGAACAGACACCCTCATCAGCCCTGAACACCCCAATGCTTTCAGGACTTCAGTGACCCCTTATTCAATTCAATTGCTGCCACTATGGTATCTGAGAATTAGCCCTGTTATGGGCAGGAGATACCTCTTCCTGCCTCTTAACACCAGTGTCCCCAGTGGTCCACTTCCCAGACACAGAAAAAGATGGCACCTCTGCTCTGACCATCCTCACTTCCTGTGTACCTGCAGGGATCTCTGCTGAGCGCTCCTTCTGAGGCTGGGCTGGGGTGGGTGAGGGCGTTGGTGAGGGTGCTGGTGAAGCCGGGGCTGCTGCCTCCTTCTCCTCACCAGTTCTGCTCTTGCTGTGGTTCTTGTCCTCAGGCCCTGATGGGCTGGGGCTCTCTTTGGCCTCCTCCTTCCTCCTCACCCTCCCCTTGGGTGACGCAGTGGTGCCTCGGGGGGATGGTGGTTTTGGAGGAAGGGCATGGCCTGGTCCTGGGCTGGGGCAGGGGGAGGCAGGTCTGTGCCAGGTTGTAGAGGGAGAGGATGGCCGGGCCTTGGACTTAGGGCTAAGAGAGAAGAAAATGGTTAGAACTGGAGGGCAGAGCACCTGGGCAGTCACTCCCCTCCCCCAACATGTACTTCTTTGGGGAAGTGATCCCTTAAAAAGAGAGAGACGTATTACTGTGTGGGGGTTCATGTGTGAGCATGCGTGTGGAAGCCACAGAGGGCAACTCTGTGGAGGTGGTTCTCTCTTTCCATCGCCACATGCATTCCAGGGATTTAACTCTGGCCATGCAGCTTGCACAGCACAGGCCTTGACTCACTGAGCCATCCCACCAGCCTCCACATGTACCTTTTGTAGGCTGAGCTGTATCCCCACCTATTCGCTTACAAAGGGTCATCATGTCCTCCTGGTGCATGTACCCCAGTTTGCAATTACACATTCATTACTGAGAGATTCTGATTGGCATCTGTCTTCCCAACAGCATGTACACGTGGTAGGGCAGAAACCCAGGCTGGCTTAGCCCACCAAAGTGTCCTCAGCACCCCATGCCCACTCACTGAGCAAGTGGGCACTGAGTTTTAGGTGCTGACTGCTGTAGGAGCTGGTGGGCTTCCATAGTAAGAAGGGGGTAGTGGAGGATGAAGGAAACGAAGAAGAAAAAGGAAAAAGTGAAAGTCCAGGGCAGGAAGACAGCTAGGGGTTTGTGGGCGGGCCAGGCCACACAATTAGTTCAAGGGCATCTTGGGCTACATGAGGAGACCCTGCCTCACAAAACAAAACAAGGGCTAGAAACGTTTTCCAGTAGAATGCTTGCCAGGTGTGCACACAGCCTTGTAACGCCAGCACTTAGGAGGTAGAGGCAGAAGGATCCTAAATTCAAGGTCATCAAGGCTGTATGGATAATTCAAGGCCAGACTAGGATGCATAATTTCTTGTTCAACAAATAACAAAAAAGGACCAGTGCGATGGCTCAGCAGGTAAAGGAGATTGCCACCAAGCTTGATAACCCAGTTCTATCTCTGGACTACACGGGTGAGAACTCATCTTCACACACACACAGAAGGCGATGACACAGGTCTGTTGTAACTCCAGCCACTTGAGGAGAATCGTAGGTTCAAGGCTGGGTGATTTCGTAAACACTGTCTTAAACAAACATGGGCCTGGTGGTGATGGCCTTTAATCCCAGCACTTGGGAGGCAGAGGCAAGCAGATGTTTCTCAGTTTTAGGGTAGCTGAGTCCAAAGAGGGAGTACCTACCAAGTGTACACAGAGAAGCCCTCTCTTGAAAAACAAAAACAGAAACCCGAAACAAACAAAAAACCAAAATACAAATACCACTGGGTATATAGCTCCGTGATGGGGTGCTTGCCTAGTATTCAGGAGGCCAGGGAATCTATTCTGATACGGAGCTCACGCAGGTTAGAAATATATAGGTGCTCAATTCGTGGAGTATGTGTCTCAAAAGAAGGGGGGCCGGGGAGAAAATCGAAAAGAAGAGACCAGAAAACCTGCCCTTCAGTAACTTAAGTATTTGGGACTGCTTGACAGTGAACGGCCTGGTGAGGAGCGGAGCCCTGCACACCTGAGCTCGGCGCCGGTGGAGAGTCGGGGTCTCACAGACGCTGGCAGGGACTGACGCTTCTTGAGGCTGCGCTCCCGGGCCAGGGCGCTCTTTTCCTTCTCGTTCTCCCGCTCCTTGTCCTTCTTCTCCTTTTTCTGCACCTGGAGAAGTGGGATGGAGGCGAGGAGGAGGGGTCAGCAGCGCCCCATTCTGGCCCAGACGCGCCTGTTCCCACCTGAGCGGCTGCCACTCACCGGTGCGGCTTCCAGCCGGCGGCGTGCCAATGCTGGGCTGCCGCCGGCGCCTGTCTTGCGCCGCTCTGCGCGCTCCCCGGACGGGGTGCAGCGGTGCGCGCTCCGAGGGGCGCTACAAGGCGTCAGGGGGCTGGCGGAGGCCGAGCGCGGGCACACTGGCACGGCTGCAGAGGGATGAGTGCGGTCGGGATGTGGCCCTGGCGCGAGGCTGGCCCCTGCCCGGACCCTCGTGGGGCGTCTCCCAGGGCCGCTGCCCCTACCCTGGTCCCTGCCGTTGCGGGGCAGTGTGACCGCGCTGCGACTCCGAGCCAGGAAGGAGAGGGTGGGCGTCATCAGACGATCCACAATGCTGCTCTCCCATGCGCTCAGCTGCAGGCTGCGATCTGGGGGGAGAACACCAAACAGAGCAGGTCAAGGCAAGCAGAGGCACAGGTGGAGACTAGGCATGACCCCACGACGAGCCCAAGAATTCTCAAGAGGTCTGTCATCCCCCACCCCAAGTCACGCGGGGTCACATTTCTTCCTGAGATCTGGTCCTCCTTTTCACACACAGGCAACAACACACTGAGCAAGGGACTGGGACTATACCTCAGAGGTAGAGCGCTTGGCTGTCATGCAAGAGGCCCTAGGTTCAATTCCTAACACCAGATTAAAAAAAAAAAAAAAAAAAAATCCTAGGCCAACACCCTGAATCACTTTTGGAGTGCCTCCTACCCGTCTCCCAGGTGAGAGGGCTCAACATTGCATAACAGACTCTAGGGAAGACCCAACTGCCCTCTCCCAGGTTCCACAGGAGGGCCTGCCTCTCCTGTTTTTATCCTGCTGGCCTGAGGGAGGCATGCTTCCTGGATTTGGAGCAGTGAGGGTCCTTGGGCTCCTCCAACCAGCACAGTTAGGAGTGTGCCAGAGAGGCAGCTAGAGGGCCTGGCTGCCCTAGGCCACCCTGCTCTGTCCCTTCAGCTGCTGGGTTATTTTTAAGCTTCAGTCAGGTGGGGTTGGTGCAGCAGCTGATTTGGTTGCTAGGCAACAGAGCAACCAAATAAAAGCTAGAGAAACTTATAAATAACTTTAACCATGGTTCTTTCATATGTAAGCACCGGGGCATGGTGGGAACGCAGGAGCTGTGCCATCTTGGTTGGTCCCAACTTTGGACCCAGCCAAGGCCAAAGCAGGTGCTCTAAAGGCAGAGATGGCAGGGTTGTGTGGCCCTCCAGGGTGGAGCTGAATATCCCCACCCTAGTACCCAGGCTAGCCTGACGCATGGGGGCAAAGCCACCTGCTAAGATTGGCCCAGGCCAGCTGGCTGTGGTTGGAGACAAAGCTGGTGCCCGTTACCACCCCAGCCCCTAGCCTAACTTCTTGAGGCCCCTGCCAGGCTTTCTGTCCTCTAAGCCACTGTCCTTTGTCTCTGTTCTCCTTTCCTACAGGACACTACTACGTCCTGGGGGTCCAGACCCAAATGCTGACTCCCCTAAAGGGTGCAGAGCCCTTGGTAGAATAGAAAGGGGCTGGATCTGGAGTATGGGGGCTCCAGGAATGAGCTCTGGAGGGGGATGGCTACAAGGGGCTCTGGAGGGGGAAGGCTGAGCCTTCTCTTACTTCTACTGGGGGAGTTCCAGAGCGTGGCAGAGGACTTTGAGAGCCGCTTGTTGATTATAGAGTCCACGTGTTTGGGCAGGTTTACTGCCGACACGGAGCACCTGCTCCCACCTGGAGGGGAAAAGACACGGCGTTAGGGCCGGGCCAGACAGGAGCCAGGGGGGGCACTGAGGCCTTCCATGCAGGGTGCTCTGAGGGCAGGGTGGGAGAGGAAGGATCGAGCAGGCTAGGGTGGGGAGAAGGCTTGATCTGGCCCTGGGAGAGGGAGGGGACATGGGAGGTGATCAGAAACAACTTTGATTGAGGGAGCCAATGGAAAAGGAGCAGAGGGAAGAAATGGTGGAACTCTACAACTACAGCCTTCCTGGTCAGACCAAAGGAAGCCATTGCCTAGGGCTAGGTGCTGCAACCCCTCCCCACAACCACCCAGCACTGGCACTTGCTGACACTGCCCAGCCAAGGCGCTATGGATACAACACCCACATACTGGGACAATGCAAAGACATTCCTGAACAGAAGACCTACACAGTTCACAGCAGCTTGTACAAATCTACATACCCACATATTTACTCAGACACACAAAGACAAAGGCATGCAAACACGAGCATACAGGGCTGGGTACTTAGGCATGCAGATATGTACGTACGCGTGCACAGATACAGGATGCGCAAGGCAGAAACATAATGGGGTAGCCTAACCATGACAGGTATGACAGCTTACCATCGGCCAGACACTGTGCTGGCCACCCCATACATGTTACCTCACTTGATCCTCCAAACATCTACCTACAACCTCGGAGGCAAGCAGTGCTGTTATCCCCATTTTACACACGGAGAGAGTGAGGTCTGAGAAGTTAAAGGTCACACAAGGGTCAGCGTTTGAACCTAAGTCTGACTGGGGAACCCTCACAGAGGAATGCAAAGCCCAAAACACAAAACACAGCCTCACCGAGTGGGCCGCATGTATGAGTACACATGTATGAGCACATACACCAGGAGAGACACATGAGGTACCCTTGCTGTTGCGTAAGGACATCCAAGCACAGCGGTACATACATGCCAGCAAGGAATCACACCAAAATCCATCATGTGCCTATGTGAAGAAAACTCAGACGAAAAACTACCTTCCAAGACAGAGGGTGATAGTTCTCTTTAAGTGTCCCGAGTCTGCAGGGCATTAAAGTCCGCTTTCTAGATATCATCAACTAACAGTAACTGACAGGAGCAAAGCATGTTAAGCAACTCCTAAGATGACAGAGGTTTGAGGAGCAAACCAAGTCGAGAGAATCCATCTCGGACTTGATAGTGGAAGCCCTTAGGAAGGATGATTTGGCTTACAGACCATTCCAGAAGGTACAAGTCACGTGAAGCAAGACAAGCCTGCTGCAGGGAGTAGCGGGCACTTTGTGTGTAACGTGTCCCTTTCTCCACCTCATCGGGCTCCAGCCCTGCCCGCCCACCCACCAGCACTCCTGGCCCACTCACTGGTCTTACGTCCGGGGGAGCTGTGGTGTAGGGCCCCTGCCCAGGACCAGCGCTGTTGCCGGATCTCAGCCCATGTCTTCTTCACTGACCGCTGGATTGCTGCTTCATAGCGCTCCTGAGGGCCAATGGGGAAAAGGGCTGGGCTCAGAATCAGCCACCATACCTGGGAGAAAGTCCTCCCCCATCCTAAGCTTTCTGACTCACTAGAGGCAACCGAAGTTACTGACTCTGCTGTGATTCAAGCCCATGTGTGGCAGATCCCTATCCACAGTTCTTGGAGAGCTTTTCACGGGCTTGAGTCACTTCCTGGGCGTATGAGTTCCTTCTCTGAGGATGGGTGGGACTCTCCTTGCCTGGGGTTCCTGGGCAGGGTCATGTCTCCCTAGCACTGAGGGTCCTGATCTTGGGGCTTTGTTTTCCTTTTTGGCTGAGGCTACCAGACAGGCCTAGATTAGCATGTGTCTTCTTCGTAGCATCAACAATGCTCAAGCAAGGCTCTATCGATGTGATGAAAGTAGGGATGTTTACAGACACTTGTCTGCATACATAGAACAGACCCACGGGCCTGTCACAGGCAATGTGGGAGCAAATGTCACGCAAAGACAGAGCCACAGAGGTGAATGCAGGTGAGACTGCCTGGGGCACATGGAGACTCGTGGATGTGCATACTCATTTCACTACTACAGACAATGGGTACACGTGGGTGCAGACTGAGGAGCTGTGCAAGCTCTGGCTGGGACTGCCCCAAACCTACCTTGTTTTTCTCAAGCTTCTGCCTCTGCCGCTCCTCCAGGGCAGCCCGGCGCTGCTCAGCTTTAAGCCGCTGCTCCTCCAGCCGTCGGCGGCGCTCCTGGAGCTGCTTCTCCCGGAGCGCCTTGGCCTTTTCCTCTTTCTCCAGCCACACTGCCTTCTTGGCCGCTGGGGTGGGGATAAGGGGGCATGACCTGAGAGGTTCTGTGGCAGGCCTGGGCCTGAAGCAGCTCCCAGCCGTGGTCTGCTACCTCCACCCTGGGCCATCCCTTCTCTGCCTGCCTCTGTGAGGCCTCCACTCTCAGATGCCCTGTTCATATTCAGGGCTTCCTAAAGACAGGCCTAGGGAAACGTCCCCCCACTGGCCTCACACCTCTCAGGGTGGAAGACAGATGAGCTCATCAGTGGGAGACTCCTCTGCACGTGATTTGGGGCCTCCTGGACAGACTTCAGCATATGACCGTATACTGCAGTGGTTTGCAAAACCTTCCTAATGCAGCCACACCTAAGGCTGTGGTAACCCCCAACCATAAAATTACCTCCTAACTGTAATTTTGCTACCGTTATGAATCATAATGTAGATATCTGATGTGTGCCCCCAGGCTGAGAACTGCTGGTATAAGGCATGGATCTAAAGTAGGATAGAGGGTCTGGGTCTGAACCTCAGCTATTCGCCAGCTCTTAGGCAAGTGATGTCATCCTGCCCATCTTTTCCTCTGATGTGGCCCTCAAAATATGCTGAGAGAATTAAGGGAGATCAGCACAGACACACTATTCCAGAAGGGGTCTGTGCTATTTATTCACAGGAGGCTGGGCAATGTTGATGAAGATGATGACGCTCCTCAGACACTCACCCAGGTACTTGGCCCGTTCTTCTCGCCGCTCTTTGGCAAGCTTGTGTCTCTCTCCTGCCTTCTTTACATCTGAGCAGAGGGAAAAGGACAGAGTCAAAAGGTCTTCAGGCTTTCCCTCCACCCTCACCCCACCCCACCCCACCTTCCTGTCCTCATCCTCCATGGCAAGGAAGACTCCAACGTGACCAACCCACAGCACGACACTGGGGACATCACACACCTTGCTTGGCAGGAGGGCTGTCGGAGGCTGGCACTGCTGTTGGGGATGGCTGACTGCTCCTTCGAGAAGGCCTGGTATCCCGTGGGCCTGTGGCTGGGGGGCTGGGTCCCCTGCTCTTTGCTTCTGAGCATGGGGAGTCTTCCTGTGGGGGAAGTGGCCGAGGCGAGATCTGCCCAGTGGGATTCTCTGGTTCTAGTGGGAGCTGCTTAGGATTAGCAGCATTCTTCATGGCAGGAGGGGTGTCCGGGGGAGTGTCAGGAACCAAGGCCGACATCGGTGTTGGTGGTGGTGGAGGGGAAGGGTCACCTTCTGGAGAAGGTCTTGGCTCTGTGGGGATCCTGGCTACCACAGCTGAAAGATCAGTACAGGAGAGGAGGGAGGGTCAGAGTGTACCCATGCCATCAATTTGCACAGCAACCTGCCCTGTCCAGTGGACCTATTCATTCATTCACGGATATTCTACCCATGTGCCAGGCCTAGTATATTCCAGACAGTAAGGCATAATGATGAGAGGAGCCGGACTCCTGCCTCTAGGGAGTTCACCCTCCAGTAGCGCAAATGGCAGCAGGTAGGAAGTAGCACATACAGCAAAGACAGCTCACATGGTTAACCTGGGCATGAAGAAGTGCCAGCTGAGCTATGATCTGAAGAATAAGCTCAAGTTGGCAAGCAAGGAAAGGGTCTGCCAGGGAAGAGCTGGTTGCAAGGGCAGATGGGGCATAGCGTGTTGGAAAAACAGAAGATAAGTTTGCAGCACCAAATGGTGAGCATCGGTTTCTCCGGCTCTCCCTGTTGTGTGTGTGTGTGTGTGTGTGTGTGTGTGTGTGGCCATGGTGTGTGTGGAGGTCTGGCTCTCTCCTTCCACCATGTGGATCCCTGGGACAGAACTCGGGTCATGAAGCTCTGAGGCTGGTGCTCTACCCCTGTTCTATCTTGGTACCTACCCATCATCTTTCTGCCCTGCCTCTGGTCATACTATGTAACCCAAAGTCTGGTTCACGGAGTATGCCAGGGCTGGGCACATGGGGCTGACCAAGAGGAAGGGCAAAAGCATGGTTCCTGTGGGATATTTGTGCTGCCAAAGTCATCTTTGGGGTAGACAGCCAGCTATAGATATGTTTGTCTGTAACCTTTCCCCCACAACTCACCCCCAAAATTTATTAAAGATATGAATATTTGAGGCTGGGGAGATGGCTCCGTGGTTAAGAGCACTTGTTATTCTTGCAGAGGACTTCAGTTCAGTTCCTAGCACTCACATGGCTGGGAACCATTTGTAAAACCAGTCCCAGGGGATCAGACACCCTCTTCTGGCCTCCACGGCCACCAGCACCCATGTGGTACACATACACAGACAAAACATTCACACACATAAAAATAAACAAACCTTGCCGTAATCCTAGCACTCTAGGAAGCAGAGGCAGGCAGATCGCTGTGAGTTAGAGGCTAGCCTGGTCTGCAAAGTGAGTCCAGGACAGTAAAGGCTACACAGAGAAACTCTGCCTTGAAAACAAACAAAAAAGAAAAAAAAATCTTTAAAAAATGGTATGAATAAGATACGAATATTAGAGCTGGGCAGTATGGTGCATGCCTTTAATCCCAGCACGCAGGAGGCAGACAGGTGGATCTCTGTGAGTTTGAGGCCAGCCTGGTTTACAGAATAAGTTCCAGGACAGCCAAGGCTATACAGTCTTAAAAGACAAAACAAAACAAAACAAAAAACCAAACAACAAAAAAAAATCCAGATATGAATATTGATAAACGTGGTGGTGGCATACACCTCTAATTTCAGCTCTGGAAAAGCTAGGACAGGATTGCTGTGAGTTCAAGGCCAGTCTGACTACATAATGAGTGTGAAGTAAGCCTGTCTTAAACAGTGAGAACTCCCACCACACACATACACACACACACACACACACGCACGCACGCATCCATGCATAGCAGCGCACACCTCTAGTTCCAGCACTTGGAAGGCTGAGAAGGAAGACCTTGAGGTCAACCCAGCCATGCCATGAATTCTAGACAGGCTGTCTCAAAAAGAGAGCTTGTGGGCTCTGCCCTGCAGACTGTCAAAGCAGATGCTGAGACTTATGGCTAACTGTTGGGCAGAGTGCATAGAATTTTATGAAAGAAGTGGGAAACAGTTAGATCTGGAGAGGACAGGAACTCCACAAGGAGAGCAACAGAACCAGAAAATTTGAACACAGGGGTCTTTCCAGAGACTCATACTCCAACCAAGTACCAGGCATGGAGATAACCTAGAACCCCTGCACAGATGTAGCCCACAGCAGTTCAGTGTCCAAGTGGGTTCCATAGCAATGGGAAGAGGAACTGCCTCTGACGTAAACTGATTGGCCTGCTCTTTGATCACCTCCTCCTGAGGGGGGAGCAGCCTTACCAGGCCACAGAAGATGACAATGAAGCCACTCCTGATGAGATCTGATGGACTAGGATCAGAAGGAGAGGAAGACCTCCCCTATCAGTGGACTTGGGGAGGGGAATGTGTGAAGAAGGGGGAGGGAAGGTGGGATTAGGAGGGGAGGGGGAGTTTATGGGGGGGATACAAAGTAAATAAAGTGTAATTAATAAAAGTTAAAAAAGAAAAAGAGAGAGAGAGCTTGTTAAATATACCTGTGTATGTATTTATGCGTGCATGTTACACCGAAGGACGGATTAAAAACAGATGCTAGCCCTGTTCTAGTTCTGCCGTCTCAAGACAGGGAGGCAAGCTAGTCACACTCCAGGCCTCTGTTTTCCCATGTGTGGAATGGGCACAATGAACCTACTGAAAAACGTCTCCTTCCCACTGTCTGCAGGTCGTGTGTCATCTCCAGCTCTCCTAGAGATGATTTTTTTTCTTGTTGAGCCCTCATGCCATCTGCAGGGACCCTCTGGCCACTTAGAGAGTTAGTGAGGACCCGGCACTGGCAGGTGGGAACAGGCAGTATCATGGGAAATATCATTTTCACTCTTCCTGAAAACCTCAGCCATACCCAGTCTTCTGTAGGGGGACTCCAGGCTCTCTCTGGACATGTAAGCCCCTCATTCCTGGGTCAAGCTGTGTGCAGGGAGGAGACACTCCAGGGAACTGTCTTTGGGATTCCAGATGCCCTCTTCTAGGAGGTAGACATCTAATGGCTTGGGCTCAAAGCCAGGCAGTGCAAGCATGGATCCCGGCTTTCCTGAAGACTGACTGACCTTGGAGAGTTGCAAACCTGCTGTGCGCTACAGCCACTCTTCTGTAAAGCATGGCCGCTACCCACGTCATGGTACTGTGAGATTAGAAACAGCCACTGGGATTCACACTTACATAGAGTGGGTCTCTATGCAGCCCTGGCTGTCCTGGAACTTGCTATGTAGTCCAGGCTGGCCCCATGCTTACAGAGATCCTCCTGCTTCTGCCTCCCGAGTGCTAAGACTAAAGGCATACCCCACCATTAATATTCACATTTTACTGAGTGCTTACTATATGTAAAGCTATCCTCTCTTTACGTGCCCGAGTTCTCGCTGCTCATGAAGGAGATCTTACCATCTCTTTCACAAAGATGGAGAAAGTAAAGCTCAGACTAGGAAGAGTCCTTTTAGTTTCCTTTGAGACAGGGTCTCATTTTGAGGTCTAGCCTGGCCTAATGAGAACAGTTGTCCTCTTGCCTCTTTTTCTTCAGTGCTGGGATTCCAAGCATGTGCCACTATATCCAACTTTGACATCATGTGGCTAGTAAGTGACCCAACCTGGATTCGAACCCAGTGTGACTGACCAGCAGTTCTCACAGCTAGAGGCCACATATCAGATACTTACAATACAGCTCATAACAGTGGCAAAATTACAGTTATGAAGTAGCAATGGAATAATTTTATGGTTGGGGTCACCACAGCATGAGGAACTGTATTAGAGGGTTGCAGCGTTAGGAAGGTTGAGAACCACCGGTCTAGGCTCTTCTCCACAGACCTCTAGCATCAATGTGAAACAGTATGCGGGTGGACATCAGGCAATTATACTACCCCAGGTTTCTATCCCCCACCCACTCTTTCCTTCCAGCTTCCTGGGCTGCAGGGAAGAGCCCTAGCTGAGGCTTTGTCTTCCCTCACACCCTGCCAGCCCGTAACAGGTGACCCAGCTCTTCACAGATGTACCTAGTCACTTCCTAGCCAGTCAAACTCCTTACTAACTTCATCAGGCAACACTAGCGGCATCCACTCGGTGAAGCCTTGCTCCTCACTGTGGGCCAGAGTCCTCCCTCCCCCACTCCATAGATGAGGCACACAAAGTTCCTCCCATGAGAGGATTTGCTCAGGCTGATGAAAGCAGTATTTGGTGGAGTAGAATTTGAACCCAGGGCCGCCGGAGGCCAAAGCTCGGGTGTGTAAGTCTTAGCTTAAAGTCTTAGCTTAAGAGGGTGAGGCTTGTGTAGTGTCCTTCCTCAAGCACCTGTGCGTGCTAACAGATGTCGCAAGGAAGTCGGTAGGAGGGTGTTTTGTCTACACCCAGGCAAATCACACCTACCAGGTGAGACGGTGAACGTCTAAGTGGGGCCTGGCTACTGAGATGAAGAGAAGCTGGAAGGAGTGAGGCATATAGCATCAGATGTAGTCAAGGCTGTGGAGCCGATGGGCTGATCCCTCTGTTCGGGAAGCCTGCCTGTCCAAGCCTTTGTGTTCTCACCGAGTTGCTGGTACAGATGGTAAATGTGAACATCAGCTTTGCCTCTTCAAGCAGCACCTGTCCCAGAGAAGCCATCTACTTCCCTCTGCTAGACCTCCTCTAGGACAGGCCTTCATCCTGGGCCCTGACATGTTCTCTGCAAGGTCAGCAGGTACCTCCAGGCCGCTAAGTCCAAAACCTGGTTATCTGTCTCATTCTTACTTGACCTACCAGCCATACCGACACAGGCAGCCCTGTGGTGCTCCTTGAAGCCCTTGTCTCATTCAGCTGTGGACACCACATACTTCAGGGCTGGGCTTTCCATCTGCTTTGCTGGCTGGGACTTGTGTCTCCTCTGGCTGCCCCTCCCTGACTTCCTAACCTTTCCATGCCGCTGTGTGCCCCAGGGCTGTCAGGAGCTCACCTCTTCTCTGTCCCCACACTCTGGGGTGATGTCATCCAGACATCATCCCTCTGCTGACAGCAACCAAATTGGTTTCTCCAGCCCAGACGTCTCCCCGGAGGACCAGTTTCATTCCTGTAACTCCCAACCTGACACCCTGGATGTTTCATAGATGCCCCAAATTTAACCACTCCCCACCTCAGTTTTTCCCGGCTCAGCTAGCAAAGCTTCTCAGACCTTGTAGTCATTGCAGACTATCTAATCTCAGCAACGCTTTTGGGCTTTGCTTTCAAAATGGACCCCAAATTC